TCAGGCGCCGCCCCCGGGGCGGCCGCGCGCGGAGGCGAGGGCGACGACGTCGTACACGCTGCGCGACGTGGCCGTGCGCCCCGCGGGGGGGTGCTGCGCGGCCTGCTCCGCGCCCTCGCCCGCGGCCTCGGGGGCTTCCGCGGGGGCGCGCGCCCGGCCGGGCGGCGCTCGCCGGGCGGCCCGCGCCCCGGCCCCCTCCCCCCCCCCCCCCCTCCCCTCCCCCCCCCCCTCCCACCCCCGCGCCGGGAGTAGGCGCACGCCCCAGGCCTCCCGAGTGGAAGCCGCAACCGCCCCGCTCCTCTCCTCCGCCTCCTCCCTCCCTCCTCCCTCCCTCACTCCTCCCTCCCTCCCTCCCTCCCTCCCTCCCTCCTCCCTCCTCCCTCCATACCTTCCTCCCTCCTCCCTCCTCCCTCCTCTGGAGTGTGAGGTGGCGCCCAGCACTGGCTCCTGCCAGCAGGAGGGGGGGGGGGTCAAGGTTCGAGGCTCTGGAGTCTCGAGGAGGTGTTGCTTGCCCTGCCAGCCGCCTGCGAGGGGGGCGCCTTCTAGCCCCCAGGCGGTCCACACTGCATCCAAGGTGAAGAAGACTGCACCAGATGGACCCCGGCAGTGCTGGACCTAAACGCTGTTTTGCTGGACTTCGGCTCTGCTTCGTTTTTCGTTTTGGCAGGGAGGTATACAGGAAAGCAGGTAGAGCAAAAGGAACAACAAGACGAACATGCACATAACTAAAAACAGCGTTCAGGTCCAGCCCTGGACCCCGGGCAGGGTCTGGTGACCAATCTTAACGGGACTTGGACTCATCCCCCCTCCTGGCCGCCTTTTTCTGGGCCCGGCCCACCTCAGAACCCGCGACCGCCTCCGACTCCGGAGGCCTCTGCCACGAGACCCTTCGGGGATGGGCAGAACCCCCTTTAGCAGAACTTGGTTTCGAGAAAACGACCTCGGGCCCAGACCTGGCGGGCGGAAGCCTGGAAAATGACGGCCGCGGCGCCTTCTCGAGGAACCGAGAACGGACAATTCACTAATCGACGTGTCAGGGGGGGGCCTGTCCATCCTCGAACCCTGGGACCCTGGGGGCTCTGCCCGAGGGGGCGCCTTCGGCGAGCGGCCCGGCGCCCCCACACCCGCACGGCAGGCCCTGCATCCCCCCCCCTTGCACGCCGCACGGTGTGGTCACCGCACCGTTTTCTCGGGGAGACGTACAGTCAACCACTATAGTACTGTGGATGCGGTGACAATGGACACTCTAACAATCCTGTAATTGAATTAAAAGACGTGCTTAAGATGTCTAAAACATGTTCTAGCAATGTTTCAAACATGTTTTTACGTATTAAAACATATTTGAAACATCTTTCTAGGCATCTGGAAATGATTTGGCAGTATGCTTCCTCTCCATTAATCGACTTCCACAAGTATAATAAGGATGCGCGATAAGGATGCAAGGGCCTTGGACGCCCATTTCGAAGCTTTCCGAGCGGGGCGCGGCCAGCGAAAGCGGCGAAGGATGGACCGAAGAGGCAAGGATGCAAGGGTACCCTTGGGAAGGTTGCCCATCCTTACTATGCGGGTTAACTGTAAGACTCGGGTACGGGGGACTCGGGTTGGCCCGATGGGGCCGCCATGAAAACGACGAGACCCAGTCTGAGTCTTGACGCGAGCTCCCGCTGCAGACGTCCCACGACAACTGGACCGTCGGAATCCAGGACGCGCTCGTCAAAAACACGTCGGCAAACCCAAGAGCCCCGGCGCACTCGAGCACTCGAGTCTTACGTTTCCCCGATTTCCCGTCAGAATCCAAGACGCGCTGGTCAACAAAAACGTCGGATAACCCGAGAGTCCCAGAGCACTGGAGTCTTGCGCCTCTCCGATATGTCTGGCGATGTATAGAAGCCTCTGGGGCTCCTGGAGGCCGCAAAGGGCGCGCTCGTCAAAAAGACGGCGGCAAACCCGAGAGTCCTGGCGTGCTCGATTCTCACGCCTCCCCGAAATTCCTGGCCGACGCCTGGAGGCCTCCAGGGCTCCTGGAGGCCGCAAGTGATGGGCCTGTTCTCCACCACCACCACCACCAGAAGTTGGAGGGGGGAAGGAGGTGGAAGACGAAGAGGAGGAGGACGAGGACGACGAGGATGAGGAGGACGAGGATGAGGAGGACGAGATGGAGGAGGAGGAGGAGGACGAGGAGGAGGAGAAGGAGGACGAGGAGGAGGAGGACGAGGAGGAGGACGAGGAGGAGGAGGAGGACGAGGAGGAGGAGGAGGACGAGGAGGAGGACCCCTCGTCCTCCAACTTGTGGTGGTGGTGGTGGAAGACATGCCCAGCAGCAAAAGGGGCCTCCGGTCCGCGGAGGTCCCGACGCGGAGGCCCCCCCCCCCCCCGCAGGCATGCGCGGTGCCCCACGGGCCGCCACCGGGCCTCTGCGGGAGCCTCTTCCGAAGAGGCTCATCGGGGACCTCACCAGGGTGAGCTCTGCGGGGACCTCCAGAGTCCACTGGGGGACCTCCAGGGATGCGCCAGCCACATGGGGACAGGGGGACAGGGCAGACGGGGTCGGAGGATCGCACTGAGTCCAAATCTATCGGCGACGCGTCAGCGACGTCGGGATGGAGAGCATCGGGCTCCGAACCGTGTCGCATCGCTGGTGCATCACCGATGCGACAGGATCCTCCGACCCATCTACTCTGGCCCCATTTGGCCGACTCCGGGAAACCTGAACCCCAACAAAAGGTTAAAGTAGCAGTTTGGGAGATCGTTTGAATGCTTCTGGGATTGCCCGGGGAGGTGCTGGCCAGCAACCAGAACCTTTTGCTCTGGGCAGCCCCGATGCATGCCAGCGCGCACCCTCCGGACCTGCACAACCGACAAGGCCAGGTCATCCGATGGGGGGAGGGATGGGGGGACGAGGGCCCTATACCCTGGGCTATCCCAGACCCCCGACGTCATGATTTGTTCAGAACGTCGACCCCCAGAATTCTCGACCCACTCCCCAGGACCGTCTTTCCATCCTGAGCAGTTTTCTGACGGCCCCTAGGGGCCTGGCAAGGGCCCCCAGGAGCCGAAAAGAGCGGAAACCCTTCCGCCGCCATTTCTTAACGACTCTAAGCGTCTAGGATTGGCGGGCCCACAAAAAACGTCCCTTGATCTCATTGTTGTTATCAATCCGCCCTAATCCGTCTACGGACGTTTCGCGGAGGGCTTCGGCCTCTACGCGTCGTTCATTTCCAATCGTGCTCATTTCTGACTGTGCTCGTTCCTACTTGCTCCTGGCCCCCTAGCGGCCAGGAAGAGGCCCAGGATAGAATAGTTAGAAATGAAAGGATCTCGGCCCCCCAAAAAAGTCAAAGACCTTCCGAACACTTACAAATGAGCCATGTGCACCTAACCCTAAAGGGTCTTTAATAACCCCCGGGCAATAATGGGGAAATGCATATTTTCCGCCGGCTTATTGATGGATAGGGACCCCGACAATAGTTGGAAATTACTGATTCTCGTCGGCGGATGCATGAGAGGTCATGAGAAGTGCTCAAAAATCCCATCGCTCAACGCCTGGCGGCCTCCTGCTTCTCCTCCTCCTCCTCCTCCTCCTCCTCCTCCTCCTCCTCCTCCCGAGGAGGAGGAGGAGGGACGAGTTTCTATTCCCCGCCGAGGGCTTGGGGTGGGGGGGGGGGGCATCATGAAAGGCCCTCTGCGATTATGCCAGGCACAAGCAGATGGGATGCCCTGCAGCGGCGGGCGCGTCGCGAGGCAGGGCTCAGGAGGACTCTGCCGCGGCCCCGCCCCGCGCGCACACCCTCTCGCCTCTGCGGGGGTGGCCCCGCGAGGAGCAGCTCGCGCTCCACCCCTCTCGTGTTGGGCCGGGCCTGCCTGAAGGGGGAAACTGGGACACGCAAAGAAATAGACACAAGCAACCAGATCCCCTAAATATTCACATGTTGTCTGGGTGTTTGTCTTCCCCCCCACTTCCCGGATTTTCTTATACTTTCTGGGGAATCGACGATTGATTGTGTCTGTGTGTTTTCTTCCCTCCTGACTGCCCCCCTACTGGATGGATTTTGGAAGAAAGATTAGAAACAGTCTCAAAATACCTTCAACGATTCCTGTAGAGGGACAGGCCCGACTTCACTCTAGTGCTCCAGTGGGCACTCGGGCCGCACTGGACAAACCGAAAAGCTCAAGACATCAAAAGGAGGACGGTCCACCGCATGGACCGCGGAGGCGGGGATCAGGACCCCATCCCCGCCCAGGACATGGAGAATCCTCAGGGACCACCAGGGCGCATGAAAACCCGAACAAACTCTCAAAATGACTCCGACGGGGGGACACCGCGTGATAGCCTCGTTTGTGTGCGTGGGGGTCCTCATCGTCGAAGATTAACGGTGGTGACCTGTGAGGCCTGTCGGACCTGTGGGGCTTGCGAGCGCTGTGGGACCTGTGAGACTTGCGGAACTTGCGGGTCCTGCGGGACCTGTGGGGCCTGTGAGATCCGTGGGATATGTGGGACCAGTGGAACTCTTGGAGCTTTTGGAACCAGTTGGACTTTGAGACTTATGGAGCCCGTGGGAAGTGCAACCTGGGGGGCCCGCGGGACCTGTGGGACCTGTAGGCCCGCCTGTGACCTCATCGCAATTCACTCCCAGACGAGGCAGCCGGAAGTGACGACGGTTACAAGATGATGCCGGTGACCCGCTCGGATTAGCAACACGAGCTGCGGGCCCCATAGGGATGGGGTTCCCGCAATTACAGTTTCGGGATGGCCCGCTCGGATTGCTGACATGAGGCGCGGGCCGCATAGGGAGGGTGCTCCCGCCTGAGACTTCCTCGCAATTCACTCGCACACGAGGCTCCCGCTTGATACTTCCTCCAGATTCAAGCCTCAGGAGCTCAAAAGTGACGCCAGTTGCAGGTTTGCGAATCACCACTGGGATAAAAAACGTGAAGTGCGGGTCGCATGCGGAGGGCGTTCCCGCCTGAAACTTCCTCGCAATTCACTCACCGACGGGGCTCGAGCCTGAGATTTCCTCTAGATTCGAGCCGCAGGGGCCCAAAATAACTAACGACAGCTAAACATTTGCGAATCACCTCCTGGGATAAGAAAAAAACCAACCTCAAGTGCGGGCCCCATAGAGTGGGGGTTCCCGCCTGAGACTTCCTCGCAATTCACTCACAAACTTATCTCCCGCCTGAGACCTCCTCTAAACCTCAGGGGCCCAAAAGTGACGACAAGTAAAAGTTTGCGCATCGCCCCCTGGGGTAACAAAAAACAAACATATGAAGCGCGGGCCCCATGGTGACAGGGTTCCCGCCTGAGACTTCCTGGCAAATCACTCACAGGCAAGACTCCCGCCTGAGACTTCCTCTAGATTCAAGCCTCAGGGGCCTAAAATTGACGACAATCAAAAGTTTGCAAATCACCCCCTGGGACTAAAAACACAAAGTGCGGGTCCCATAGGGAGGGGTTCCAGCTTGAGACTTCCTCGCAATTCACTCACAGACGACGTTCCCGCTTGATACTTCCTCCAGATACAAGCCTCTGGGGCCCAAAAGCGAATAATGTTAAAGGTTTGCGACCCGCCCCCTGCAATAAAAAAACATGGCTTGCGGGCCGCACAGGGAGGATGTTCCCGCCTGAGACTCCCTCGTAATTTACTCACAGACGAGGCTCCCCTGAGAGTTCTTCTAGATTCAAACCTCAGGGGCCCAAAAGTGACGACAATCAAAAGTTTGCGAATCACCCCCTGGGGTTAAAAACATAAAGTGCGGGCCCCATAAGGAGGGTGCCCCGCCTGAGACCTCCTTGCAATTCACTCACAGACGGGGCTCCCACCTTGGACCTCCTCTAGACCTCAGGGGCCCAAGCGTGACGACAGATACAAGTTTGCAAATCACCCCCTGTGATTTTCTGCCACACGCATTGAGTGCGGGCCCCATGGGGAAGGGCTCCCGCCTGAGACTTCCTCGCAATTCACTCAGGGACGTGGCTCCCGCCTGAGGGTTCTTCTAAATTCAAGCCTCAGGGGCCCAACAGTGACGATAGATAGAAGTTTTCGATTGACCCCCTGGGACTGAAAGCATGGAGTACGGGCCCCATAAGGAGGGGCTCCCGCCTGAGACTCCCTTGCAATTCACTCACAGTCGAGGTTCTCTTGGTACTTTCGCCAGATTCAAGCCTCAGGAGCCCAAAAGCGACGACTGTTACAGGTTTGCGAATGACCCACCCCGGATCAAAGAACAAAACAAAACATGATGTTCGGGCCCCACAGGGAGGGGCTCCCGCCTGAGACTTCCTTGCAATTCGCTCAGGGGCTAAACTCCTGCTTGAGACTTCCGCCAGATTCACGCCTCAGAAGCCCATGAGAGTGAATGAGTGAGCGAGTGAGTAATGATAAGGGTTAAGATGATGATGAGGAGGAGACTGCTGAAAATCATGGTGACAAGGATGTGGGATGGCTCCTGTCTCTGATGATGATGATGATGACGATGATGATGATGATGATGATGATGATGATGATGATGATGATGATGATGATGATGATGATGATGTTGGAGCGCTCCTTTTCCTGATGATGATGCTGGTGACGATGCTGATGCTGATGATGATGATGACGATGCTGAGGATGCTGCTCCTGATGGTGATGGTGATGATGATGATGATGATGATGATGATGATGATGATGATGATGATGATGATGATGATGATGATGATGATGATGATTTGGGGGTGTTATTGTTCTTGCGCGGGGGGGAGAAACATACAATCCCACTTTGGATGTGGGGAGCATGGGAACAAACAACTACATTACCATAAGCATGTGGAGGTCCGCGCGGATCTCTTGGATCCGCGCCGGCCCCCCTCCCAGGCGGGCGGAGCGCCGAAAGTTTCTGTGAATGAGAGGGCTGCGCTCCTGCGACCTCGTGATGAACAACGTCTCGTCAGGCCAACGAGTGTTCTCGCCAGGTGTCGCGAACAGCATGGACCAGGGCAAAGCCCGAACAAACCCTCCCACCCTCCCTTGGCCCCTTTTTTTTGCCAACCGCTGCGCCACGGAACCCTCCAGGAAAGGACGCTTCGTGAGGGGCCTGAGGGAACCCCGAACAAACTCTCCCACCCTCCCTTGGCCCCTTTTTTTTTGCCAACCGCTGCGCCCAGGAACCCTCCAGGAACGGACGCTTCGTGAGGGGCCTGAGGGAAAACCAACCGCTGAGGGGCCTGAGGGGCCTCCAGGAACGGACGCTTCGTGAGGGGCCTTGGTCCCTTTTTTGCCAACCGCTGCGCCCAGGAACCCTCCGGTAACGGACGCTTCGTGAGGGGCCGGAGGGAAAACCGACCGACCTCGGCGCGCTCGAAAAAAACCGTGCTCCGAACGGAGGGCCCACAGACGGGGTGCGCGTGCAGGAACGGACGCAGAGGCCGCCACCCCACTTACGGGCCCCGCCCCAGGGGGAGGGAGAGGAGGAGGAGTTGCGGAGAGGAGGAGGAGGAGGCGGAGGAGGAGGAGGAGGAGGAGGAGGGCACGCGCCCCCGCCCCTGCGGAGGCGGCACCGTGAGAGCGGCTCCCCCGCCCCCCCTCCTGGGGCGGGGCGGCACCTCCCTGGATGCCGCCGCCTTCCCCGCTGGCCTCCGCCCGCGAACCCTCCGCGGCGCCCTCCGCTCGCCGAGGCCCTCCGCCCCAAGGGGGGGAGCGAGGCGCGCCCACGGCGTGCGAAGGGGGGGCCCTCGCTGGGGGAGGGGCGGCGCCCCCGGGGCGGCCTGGGCACTCCCAGACGGGCGAGGGAGGCGGGAGGAGAAAGGGCCTCCTCCTCCTCCTGCTCCTCCTCCTCCTCCTGCCAGGAGGGGCGAGGGAGACAGGATAAAAGGACTTCCTCTTCCGCCTCCTCCTCGTTTTCCTCCTCCTCCTCCTCCTCCTCCTCCTCCTCCTCCTCCTCCTGCCAGGAGGGGCGAGGGAGACAGGATAAAAGGACTTCCTCTTCCGCCTCCTCCTCGTTCTCCTCCTCCTCCTCCTCCTCCTCCTCCTCCTCCTCCTCCTGCCAGGAGGGGCGAGGGAGACAGGATAAAAGGACTTCCTCTTCCGCCTCCTCCTCGTTCTCCTCCTCCTGCTCCTCCTGTCCTCCTCCTCCTCCTCTCATCCTCCTCCTCTTCCAGGAGGTGGCGAGGGAGACAGGATTAAAAGGACTTCCTCACTTCCGTCCTCCTCCTCGTCTTTCTCCTCCTCTGCTCCTCTGTCATCCTCCCCCTCCTCTCCCTTCCTCCCCTCCTCCTCCTGCCAGGAGGGGCGAGGGAGACAGGATAAAAGGACTTCCTCTTCCGCCTCCTCCTCGTTCTCCTCCTCCTGCTCCTCCTGTCCTCCTCCTCCTCCTCTTCCTCCTCGTTGTCTTCCTGAAAGTTTCTGCGCCACAGTCGGCTGGCGAAGTAGTTGATGCTCATGTTGTTTATGTTTATGTTGATGTTGTCGATGTTTATGCATTGATGAGTTTCCTCTATTCTCCTCCTCCTCCTCCTTCTCCTCCTTCTCCTCTTTCTATTTCTCCTCCTCATCCTTCTGCTTCTCTTCCTCGTCCTCGTCCTCCTCTTCCTCCTCCTGCTCCTCATCTCCTCCTCCTCCTCCTCCTCTTCCTCCTCGTCGTCTCCCTTGAAGTTTCTGCGCCGCTGTAACGAGTCGGCTGGCGAAGTAGTTGATGCTTGTGCTGTTTCTGTGTATGTTTATGATGTCTATGTGTATGCATTTATGTTGTTCCTCCTCGTCCTCCTCCTCCTCCTCCTCCTCCTCCTCCTCCTCCTCCTCCTTCGTCTCCTCATTCTCTTTCCTCCTCCTACTGCTCCTCATCCTCGTCCATCGTCCTCCTCCTCCCTCCTCCTCCTCTCCTCCTCCTCTCTCCTGCCTCCTCCTTCCCCCCTCCCCCTCCTCATCCTCATCCTCTCCTCCGTCCTCCTCCTCCTCCTCCTCCTCCTCCTCCTCCTCCTCCTCCTCCCCCTTCCCCTCCTCCTCCTCCTCCTCATCCTCCCTCACCCTCCACTTCCTCACGACCTCCTCGAGTACAGAATAGCCACATTCCCGCGCAGCATCCCCACCCCCTCCCCAATCTTGCGCCTCCTGCGACTGTGTCCACCACGACTGCGTTGTTTATCTCCCTCCTCCTCATCCTCCTCTTCCTTTTCCTCCTCCTCCTCCCTCCTCCTCCTCCTCTTCCTCCTCCTCCTCCCTCATCCCCGCGCTCGGAGGTGGAATTGTTGTTCATCGCTTCCTTTCTGCTGATTTTTGCTTCAGCTGCATGTCGTGCCGTTCGCTGCTGAGGTGAGGCATCCATGTTGGGCAGGAGCCCGCTTCGAAGGTGGCGGCTCCATTCGGCCGATTTGGACGCCCCATGTTCCCCCTCTCCACCATCCAACGTTCAGCGGCACCTCATGGGAGCCTCCTGAACAATTTTGTCGGCTCTTCCGAATCGACGCTAGTCTACGCTAATCGACGCTGTCTCATCGATCACCAGACGCTAATTGGCCCGAATGCGCTCCAAAGACAGAGATGCGACAATACACAAGGCTCCCATGATTGCGACAGATCTCGAGAGGGAGTGCATCGACCTGGAATCGGCGATGCATCGTCGACAGATCGGCGATAGGCCCCCGATAGCGAAACCGCACGCTCATTGGCGGGCTGGGGCTATCGGGCCCCCATCGGCGATCAATGGGCGATTGGGATTCGCTGAATCCCCCCTGTGCCCATCCCCCCCTATCGTTGCCCCTGAGAGGTCTGAGGTACTCCAGGCCTCGGAAGAAATCAGCGAACACTCATGCCACGTTCATCTGCCAATGTCCCCCCCAATGATCAATGTTGGCAGTAGGTACGGTTCAAGGAATGGTACTTCGACCGCAGCCTTCCCCGCGCGTGCCAACTTCGAATGCTGGAGGGACTGATTGGGGGTCGACGACCCCTCCCCCAGAAGCCCACCCCCTTCCCCTACCGTGCCCCGCCAACCTGGCTCTCGCAGGTGTGTCGCTCGCTCGCCCCGCCCCCCCCCCTCCCCCCCGCGCCCGCGGCCTCCGCCTCCCAGCCGGCCACGTTCTCCCTTGGCAGGAGGGCGCCGACCATGCCGCACCCACCGTGGCACGAGAGGCCTCCTGGATGGGGTCGGAGCAGACGGGGTCGGAGGATCGCGCCGCATCGCCGATGCATCGGCGATGCATCGCCTACGTCGGCGGTGCATCGGCGACGTCGGCGCGAAGCGCATTGGGCCCCACGTCGAGCCGCGTCGGCGATGCAGCGACGATGCGGCGCGATCCTCCGACCCCATCTACTCGGACCACATCTATCGAGGACTGCGAGAAGGTCTGGCTCAAGAAGGGTGACTTCGACGGATGCTGGGGCGCCTCAGGTCGTGCCGGAGTGCCCAAGGTCGGGCGAGAGTAGTATTCATATTGAGTAATTGTGGAGGGAGGAGGGAGGAGGCAGGAGGGAGGAGCAGGGATGGGCGGAGGGAGGGGGGAAGGGGAGGCGGGAGGGAGGGGAGGAAGGGAGGGAGGGAGGAGGGGGAGCGGAGGAGGGAGGAGGACCTCCGAGTCCAGCGAAACCCACCCTTTTCGCACACGACGCCCTCTGGAGCCCCGAAGCCAGGAGGCCCAGAAGGGCACCAGTTCCTGGCCAGCGGGCCGGCCCGGGGGGGACCCCCCAATTGCTGCGCCGCCGCGGGCCACCCCGGGGGATCTCCCTCCCTCCATGACCTACCTCCTCATCCTCCTCCTCTCCTCCTCCCACCTCCTCCTCCTCCTCCTCCTCCGACCTCCTCCTTCCTCTCCTCCTCCTCCTCCTCCTCCTCTCCTCCTCCTCCTCTCCCTCCTCCCTCCTCCCTCCTCCCTCCTCATCCTCCCTGACTCCCAGACCTCCCTCCTCACCTCCTCCCTCCTCCTTCCTATCCCTGCCTCCCTCCTCCCTCATCCATCCCTCCCTCCTCCTTCCCACCCTCCTCATACCTCATCATCCTCCTCCCTTCCTACCCCTCCTCCTCTCCTCCCGCCCTCCTCTCCTCCTCCTTGAACCGGACCCCCCCCCCCCCCCAGAGCCGAGGCAATCACCACGGCGGGGGCGCTCCGCTGCTCTCGGCCCCGGGGGGGCGGGGGCCCTCACCCTCGCCATCGCTCGGACGACCCTTCTCCGGGCACTCTTCGACGTCTTGCGCTTTTTCTTTTGTTCGCAGAAAGTGATCCCATATGTGGTGGGCTTGCTTTCCACCACCACCACCATAAGAAGTTGGAGGGGGAGGGGGTCCTCCTCCTCTTCCTCCCCTCCTCCTCCTCGTCCTCCACCTCCTCCCCCCCTCCAATTTGTGGTGGTGGTGGTTGCAAACAAGCCCATCAATATGCTCCTCGGCAGCCCTCGCCGAGAAGAGTGCACCCGGGACCGTCAAGCAATGGTTCGGGATGAAAAACGGGTCTCGGGGAGTGGGTCGAGACCTCTGGGAGTGGGTCTCGGGGAGTGGGTCTCGGTGGAATGAAAGACCGGTCTCGGGGAGTGTGTCGGCGTTCCGAACGAAAAGTCATGACGTCGGGGATCTGGGTGGGTGTCACCGAGGACTGGAGCGGCCAGCACCGAACCGACAAGTGGGATGTGAGCGGAGCGTGCCTCGAACCCAGGTCGCTCGAGCGGAGCGGGCCGAAATCGATGTGTCGACCCTGATCGGTCGGACCGATATTTTCTCCCAATGACCAGACGCCGACGATGAAAAAAGGGGAGAATCATACTAAGAAGAAGAAGGAACAACTACATAAACATTGTCTGTCGGAGGTCTGCGCGCAATTCTTGGGTCGGCGCTGGCTCCCACTCCCTGACGCACGGAGCTGGCTGGGGACGGCGCCAGAGAAGCCGCCAACGGGGGCCGGCCACGACCCACGACAATCCGCGCGGACTTCCGAAAGGCTATTCCCCAAAACGGGATCGAGATGGACCCTGGACTTCGCCACCCCGATACGCAGCACGCAACCCATAGCGCGTTGACGCGGAGCTCGGCACGTAGACTGGAAACCCTGCTCTGGCGCGGAAAGCTCGCCAACACGTGGACCAGCACGCGGAGTGCTGACGCTGTACCTTTTGAACACGGTACGCGTTGCGGCTCCGAGCGAGCGTATCGGGGCAGCCAGGGCCTTGGATGATGGGCCAGGCAGGGGCCTCTTGCCAGGACCTGTGCAGGTGGCTGGTTGGCAGCCGCCTCGGCCTCAGGCACTGGTCCGGAGCCGCCGCCCCGTCGTCGCCGAGGACCAGCCGTATCGTCCTCCAGGTGGGCAGCACCACGAAGTTGAGGAAGCCCAGCTGGCCCTTGGCGAGCGAGGGCGCCCTGTCGCGGTCGAACAGCTGGATCGGTTGCAGGCGGAGCGCCTTCTCGCGGTCGCCCTGGTCGAAGAATTCTGAGACGCAGCGCCGGCTCCACTCCATGTGCTGGTCGCGGGGCCGGAGGGGATGGCCGATGTCGGACATGTGGAGGATGTTTTTCTCCAGAACCAGCTTGTCCGTGTCTTGCACCCTCGCGTTGCCCTGGACCTCGGACTGGAGGGCACCGATGGTGTGCTTGTGAAGCTCCATGTCGGTCGCCAACACCATGTCGATGACCCGCATGCGAAGCGCGCCCAGGGGAGGGCTGGGGAGGTTATGCTCGAGCAAATTGATCCCCATGTCCCTCATCGCCCGGAACGCGGTGGCCACGTGGTAGTTCTCGAGGACCGACCTGTCGTTGTACCGGAGGGACAGGTCGTCCCTGGTCTTGATCATGAAATCGTTGTTCACAGCAGGGTGCCCCACGTCGTGTATTGCCGCAGCAATTAGGAGAACAAGCAGGTCCACCTCAACAAAGTAGTACTGCCACCCCTGCTGGGCTGCCAACTTGGACCACAAATAGTACGCCGTCAGTGTCACATCCGCGGCGTGGATGCGATTATGGTAGAGGTTGTTGTTGTACTCCAACTCCATGGATCGGATGAATTCGACGACCTTCTCCTCGGGTGTTCTGCAGAGCTGTTCCAGGCCGCGTCGCTTCCAGATGGTCATGAACACGCTGGTCAGCGGTTGCTGATGCTCTTTCTCCAGCTGGAAGACATCTACACCGTTCCACTGGTCGATCGGCACTTCTTGGATGCCCTGAAAGGACTGCGCCTTCAGGTAGTTGCTGTGCTTCTGCTTCCTCCAGTGCCTGATGATCGAGTTCTCCAGCTGCACTCTGGTGGCGATCATCTTGAGGCTCTTGACCCTCCTGCGGCTTCCCATGTACATGTTCAGCCACGTCTCTGCCTCGCCCCCCTGCCATGTCTGCCGCTCCTGCAGCCGCTGCGCGGTCCTGAGTTGCTTCTCCACCCTCCTGAGGGCCTCCTCGCACCTCTTGATCTCTTGCGGCCCCTCCCTCGACTCCTTTGAGTATCGTTTAACCGATCCCCATCCCCAGCGGCGTGGCCTGGGCCCCGCTGGCTGATTTACCCCCCTAGATGGGGATATAGGTCGTTCTCTTCGGGTTTCGAGGGGTGTATCCCCAACTGGGGTGGTAATTTGGTGGGGGTCTCGAAGGGGACGGGGACGGGGATGGGAATCGGTTAACCTATACTGATCCTTTGGCTTTTTCAAGACAGCACGGTACTTTGCAACCGTCATGGCGGTGCAGGCCTCCAGCGCGGTCACCAAGTCTGTCAGACTGCAGCCCGTGGTGTCCAGGTCACACCAATCACCGGCAGGCCCCCTCGAAGCTCCGTTGGTCATCGCGCGAGCCATCACCGGGCACATCGATCTGTCAGGGTCGGTCACAATGCTGTGGAAACTGTCGCTTGGAGGCTGGAACTCCGTGAAGCTCTCAATAGCCCTCTCGTGGTGAGCGGGCCTTCGGCAATATGTGCCTGCTGCATGACTGTTGCCCATCGCCGGTCGCACGCGCAGCACCTATAGCGAGCTACTAGCGCTGTAAACTATTAATTCAATCCTGCAACTTGTGGCTTGAGACCGATAGAAGCGGATCAGGAGACTGAGGAGGCCAGGGGTGAAGAGCTGAAGTCTCGCAATTCGGGGAGCATAGGCTCCCCAAGGAATCGGGGGGAGGACATCGAAACGCAGGTAGGCACCTCAGGCTACAATGAGTTGGAAACTTTATACCAAGGGCATCATTCTACGCATGCGAATCAGTGAAAGGTGACGCTCCCGCCGAGAACATGCCTCCCATCGCTACGGACTGCCGCACCATGTACGCTGCTCCGCACCAACAGGCCTTAGCCGTCACTGCGCCTTGCAGCGTTTTTTTTTGTCCGTCAGCCCTTGCAGGTCGGAGCAGGACGGCTGGCAACAGACAGCCACTGAGATTTGTGCAAGGTGGCACGAACCATGCACAGAAGTCTCAGAAGCCCTCCAAAAGAGACAGCTCTCCTAAGCACAGGCGAGCACTGTCGCATGCATCACACGAAAGGGCGCACTTGCTTGTCATATACCCACTTCTCGAGCATCCAGCATGGTCACGCGAAGGTTGCGATTGTAACTGGCGACTCGGAGGAAGGTGCCTGGCCACTCGTCATCACTTTTAGCATAGACGTGCGCTTGGTACAAGACGCTGGGGGAATCATCATTTCTTTGTGGTCGTCTTCCCCAAGCAAGCCTCCGACGGCAAATCCTGATCGCCCCAAATGCTTCACGTGAACATTCAAATACAAGATGCCACTCTCTGTGCGTCCGTGGACAACTTTCAGCTCGACAGGACCAACAACGACCCATTGCGGAATCGTCACGGCGTTTTGCCGTACGCTGTAGTAATACCCTCCAACTTGCTTAGCCTCTGTCCAAGAGCCTGTAATGTTCAGTTCTTTGAAATACATATCCGAACATCTTCCACCCGATCGGCGCGCATCGGCCTGCACACGAAGCAATGCGTCATCAGCGCTCACTCCGCGAGGGATGTTTATCAGAACATGTTTGCCCGATTTCATTAAATCGAACCGCTCGCCGTGAACGTTTTGAAGGTGCGGATCGCCGGTGGCAGCCACGCCTCCGGCGGCTCCGCCCGCCATGGGAGCTGCGGGAAGAAACGTTGGACTTGGCGTCGGCCAACCCAGAGGATACGTCGGACTGGGCGTCGGGCTGGGCGTCGGGAAGGGCGTCGGGAAGGACGTTGGGTAGGGAGTCGGGAAAGCCGTGGGGTGGGCCGTCGGGAAAGCCGTCGGGTAGGCCGTCGGGAAAGCCGTCGGGTAGGGCGTCGGGAAGGCCGTCGGGTAAGGCGTCGGGAAAGCCGTTGGGTAAGACGTTGGGAAAGCTGTGGGGTAGGGCGTGGGGTAAGGCGTGGGGTACGGCGTGGGGTAGGCCGTCGGGAAAGCCGTCGGGTAGGGCGTCGGGTAAGGCGTCGGGAAAGCCGTGGGGTAGGGCGTGGGGTAGGGCGTGGGGTAGGGCGTTGGGTAGGGCGTGGGGTAGGGCGCACCCGCGCAAACGCTTTTGCACACGTCCTGCTGTGCTTGGGTTCCACCGCAGCAATTGCAATACCGGTCCCAATGAATAGTCGGACTACCAGAATTCCACTGATTCACGTACCAGTTATACCCACAACGCGTGCATCCCAGCTCACACACTGCTTCAGTCGGTAGCTCTGCGGCATATAACGGTCCGGCCCATGCACTGACATCTGCATGAGCTGCATATCGGCGCAAACAATGTAAGCGAGCGCGGATGCCGCGGCAAAGATCAGTCTGTGTACCATTTTTGCGTCGACGAACGCCAAGAAGTGTAGAAATGACTGTTCAGTAGCGACGATCGAACACGACGAGCTCACCTTGAGCCAAAGTGGCTACGGACTGCGCCTTGCAGCGGTCTTGTGCCTTCAAAATCGGCTCTGCGCTTGAACCAGGCGGCTTCGCGTGCGGACCCCGCTCGCTCCCCTGACGAGCACACCCTGCTCACAACGCTCGCTGCAGCCCCCCCCGCCCCCGCCGGCAGGACGCACTAGGCCAGGCTGGCGCACGCGTTGAGATGGACCTCCGACCCCGCCAAACCTCCTGCCACCTCGGCAGGAATGAGCGAGGGCTCTGCTCACCCACAGGCCGCCTCGAGCAGCATTGTCAGACACGATCTTTGCAGACAGGGCACGCTCTGCAACACACTTGGCTGCAGCCTGGAGGACACGACCAATTCCCCCTTCCCGAGGGAGGAGGAGCCTTCGGCAGGTGAATCCGCGAAGCCCAGAGAAGAGAGAGGAGGAAGAGGAGGAGGAGGAGGAGGAGGAGGAGGAGGAGGAGGAGGAACGAGGAGAGGAGGATGAGGAGGAGGAGGAGGAGAAGGAGGAGAGGAGGAGGAGAAGGAGGAGGAGGAGGAGGAAGAGGAGAAAAACGACGACGAGGACGTGGAGGAGGACGAGGAGGAGGAGGAGGAGGAGGAGGAGGAAGAGAAGGAGAGGAAGAGAAGTAGAAGGACGAGGACGAGGAAGAGGGAGGAGGAGAAGGAGGAGGAGGAGGAGGAGGAGGAGGAGGAGGATAGAGGAACAACAAAACTACATAAACATAATATTTTGATGGTCCTCGCGGATTTCTCGGATCTTCCCGAAAACCCCCTCCCTGGCGCGCGGATCGTGCCAGGCGCTGTGCCGGAGGCGCCGCCAGGGGGCTCCAGCGCACATCCAAGAAACCCGCGCGGAGCTCCGAAAGGTTATGTTTAGGCCGTTCTTCGTTGGAAGGAAGAGGAAGGGGGAGGAGGGAGGAGGGAGGAGGAGAAGGAGGAGTAGGAGGAGGAGAAGGAGAAGGAGGAGGAGGAGGAGGAGGAGGAGGAGGAGCGACCCACGAACAAGCCCCTGTGCCTCAATTGGAGGAGGCGGCGGCGGAGGCGAGGGGCGGGCGCTCGGCGCGCCGCCCTCCCCTTAATCGCGCCCCGCGCCGGGCGCCGGTCTGGCCTCGCGGCGGTCCACCTGGGGCGGCCGCGTTCCCCGGGGGGGCATCGACGGGGGGGCCTCCTCCTCCTCGTCCTCCTCCTCTCCTCCTCGTCCTCCTCCTCCTCCTTCGTCCTCCTCCTCCTCCTCCTCCTCCTCCTCCTCCTCCTCCTCTCTCCTCCTCTCCTCTCCTCCTCCTCCTCCATCCTCCTCCTCCTCTCCTCCTCCTCCTCCTCCTCTGCATCGTGTCCTCCCGGGCACGAGAACGGCGAGGGCGGAAGTCGGGGGGGGCCAGGAGGGGGGTCGTCCGAGAGAGGGGGGGGGGGCGGCTCAAATCTCGGCCCGAGGCACGTGCGCGGACCAGGCGGGGGGGGGCCGTGAGACCTGCGGGAATATCATGGCCCTCGCCACGACATCCCTCCCCCCCTTCTTGGCCGCCCCCGTGGAAGGGGCGCGCGCTGGCCAGGTGCGGCGGGAGGGGCGGCCGGGGAAACGGGGGGCCGGGGTAGGGAGGGAGGGGCGGGGATAGGAGGAGGGGGCATAGGGAGGGGAAGGGCGGTGAAGACTTGGGAGCAGGGGGAAAGGAACGGGCGAGTTGGGTGGGGGGTGGGGGCCAGAGGACAGGTGAGCGAGGGAGGATCGACGGAGGAGGGGCAGGAAGTGGAAGGGAGGGGGAGGAGGAGGACGAGGAAAAGGCGCATGAGGAGGAGGAGGAGGAGGAGGAGGAGGAGGAGGAGGAGGAGGAGGAGGAGGAGAAAGGAGGAGGAGGAGGAGGGAAAGGAGGACAAGGAGAAGGAGAACGAGGGGGGCTGAGGACCAAGTGAAAAGCGAGCAAGGGGGAGGGAGGAGGGAGGAGGGAAGAGGGAGGATGAGGAGGACGATGATGATGATGATGATGATGATGATGATGATGATGATGATGATGATGATGATGATGATGATGATGATGATGATGATGACGACGACGACGACGATGATGATGATGATGCTGATGCTGATGATGATAATGATGCTGCTGATGATGATGATGATGAGGAGGAGGAGGAGGAAAAAGAATATGAAGAGGAGGCTAAGGAGGATGAGGACAAAGAGGGTGATGATGATGATGATGATGATGATGATGTTGATGATGATGATGATGATGATGATGATGATGATGATGCTGATGATGATGATGATGATGATGATGATGCTGATGCTGATGCTGATGCTGATGTCGATGATGATGAGGAGGAGGAGGAGGGGAATGAGGGCGAGAAAAGGGAGGATGTATGGCCACTCTTTTTCCCATCCACCAGGACGACTGCGCTCGGAGGAAGGATCTGCATTGTCCCTGAGGAGGGCCCTAGGAGCAACAACCTCACAGACTTCAAACACAGCTGCTGTCGAAACAAATGAACCAGTTCGTATAGCCAAGGACATACAGCCCCCACAGACAACCAGGAATCAATAGTTGCGAACTCTGTCCTGGGTTATGATCCACCGCCATCTGGCCGTCGCCGTGCTGCTGCTCCTGCGCCTCCTGCTGCGACTGGCCTCCAGGGGCCGCCACCGCCGCAGTCTGGGCGCCGACCTTCCTGCGCTTCGCCTCCAAGTGGGCCTTCTGCATGTCCTTCGCCTGCTTCGCCAGCTCGTCAAACTGCTTGCGCTGCGCGTGCGCGTTGCTGACCAAGACCGCCAGAGCGTGCATGTCCTCTTTGAACTTGATCAGCTTCTGCATGTCCTCGGCCTGGTAGGCCTTTAGGTCCTCGAACAGCGCCTCGTCCACCTGAGGAGCTTGCCAGCCTGCGGAAGCTTCCGTCGGGTCGGCTTCGGTACCGTCTTGGCCGTCGTGTAGTACTCGTCGAGGATCTTGAGATGGTCCGCCTCCGCCTGCTCCATGTGCTGGGGTTCCGCGTGCTACACCTGCTTCGCCTACTCCAGCTTCTGCTGCGCCGACGACAGCGCCGTGGTGGCCGCGTCCAAGTCCTTCTGCGCTTGCTCCTTCTTGTTCACCGCCTGCTTGAGCGCCACGCTCTGCGGCATCTCGCGCTTCGGCTTCTTCGGCGCCGCTGTCTCCAGCTGTTCTTTGAAGCCACGCAAGCCCTGCAGGTCGACGTCCACCTTGTAGCTCCCCTTCTTGTTCTCGAACTTCTTAATGGTCGATTCTAGCTCCTGCTCTGGAGTCTGCATCGAAGATCTCGTAGTCCACCACGGAGGCCGAGCCGAACGAGTCTCCTGGGACTGCTGACCCTGCCACAGTGGTGCCGAAATGAATCCGTCGCACTTGTCGCACCACCCGCCCGAACGCTGCAGCTTCCAGTCGTACACCCAGCCGACACATTGGCCACAGACCGTGCACGGGCGAGAGCGCGGCATGCCGTGATGCAGAACCTCGAGTGGCGGCGCGGAGCACGTCCACCCAGGCACGGAGACTGAGTGTAGGGGGGCCCAAATCCCATTGAGAAGGCCGCGCAAAATCGCTGCCAGGCTGGACAGCCTTGCTCGCCCTGGCAAGGGTGTGCCCTGGATGCACGGTGGAAAGCCTCCCGAGCATTGCACCTTGAGCAAACATGGCTACGGAGGAGGGGGCGGATGACGGGGCGGAAGAGGAGGAGGAGGAGGAGGAGGAGGACGACGACGACGAGGGGCGGAGCGAGGGCGGAAGCCGGCGGCGAGGGGCCGCCTGGCTGCCGGAGGCCATCGCCGTGCCCACCAGCGCCGGCGCGTGGGCGCTCCGCGGCGCCAAGCGCTGGGAGGGGGAGGCGGGAGAGCGTCGCAGACCGGGTCGTAGCACGGGGGGTGTGGTGGCGAT